GTCTCTGTTAGAATATGATTTAATTAATCTGCTGAACAATGATAAAGACAACCATCTTCCCACCACTAACTGATTCAAGGCGTTCCCTCTTCCAGAATGAGCATCTGCTGCCATTTACTCGCTAGTCCAGTGGAGACTGACTTGCTCCTGGGCTTCCAGAACCTCAGCGCCTCCTGCCCCACCCAGGCCCCCTTTACTCCCTGCCCCACCCAGGCCCCCTCAAACACACGTGCACACACAGACACACATGCACGTACACACATGCACGCATGTGCGGGTTTGAGTTACCTTGACATTTTCTGGCAATGGTTTGTTCTGGACCAGCCCCAGAGCAAGCAATGCTATCACAGCGATGATAGAAGAGAAGCCAAGGATGCTCAGTATGTTTCTAGAGCAAAATCTCTTCAGTTCAGACTCTAAAACCAAAAGCAGAAGAGAAAATATCAACAAGAAATCAACAAACACTGGGGGGAGGATATAGCTCAAGCGCCAGAGCACATACTTAGCATGTACAAGGTCCTGGGTTCAGTCCCCAGTACCTCCTCTAAAAATAAATAAATAAATAAATAAACCTAATTACCTCCCCCCTCAAAAAATAAATTAAATAAACTAAATTTTTTTTAAAAAAGAAATCCACGAACACTGATTTTCTTCCCCTTTCTACATGCTCTGTGCTTGCTTTCCGGCGACAGCAAAGATACATAAAAGCTGATCTTTATCCATGAGGCACTGGCAAAGTAATGGGGAAGTAACTCAAGAACAAAAGGGTTTGTCTGTACTGTGATGAAAGCCAAAACTGAGTTAGTGGCTGTGGTAAGGAGAATAGGCAGAATTAGCTCAGTGATCAGATATGGGTTGAGGAGAGGGAAAAATCCCTAATTGGCAGATCATTTAATAGGTTATGTAGGTCTATCAAGATTTAAGTAACAAGTGAAAAAAGCAAGGATAGCCCTCTTCATTTTTTAAAATCTACCAAGAAATGATTACAATATTAAAAAGTACTTGGAATACACCATCAAACATCAAAATCCCTCTACTTCATGACACCTCCTGGTTTGACACACCCCTTGCACTTCAACCACACTTATATGTTAGGTAACTGGTAACAGCATGGAGGCTGTGGAGTTTTGAACATTTCATTATTCACATTCTCTTATCTATCCTATTTGTACCTCACAGTCATGGGACATAAAAAAGCTTCAGAAGGAGAATTCTATAAAAGGCAAATTTCCTTTGACCAGGATAAACACAGTGTACAGCAGAGGTGAACAGGAAATGGAATGGTTGCCCCATTCTCTTCATTTGCATCCTTCCTCTCTCAGCTTCCCAAACTATCCCCAAACTTTTTTCTTAGGCTTTGGGGAAGAAGGATAGGATAGAGTAATAGAGAAGCATGTAGAAATGAGATGGATTCTCCAAAATAATTGGCACTTCTCTAAGGACAAGGCATGGGATTAAAATAGCTGAAGTAGGACCCTGAGTCCTCACCTCCTCTTTCTTGCTCAGCAGCAGCAGCTGTGCCAACATGGGAGCACCTCCTCGAGATCATGAGCACGAGGCTAGATTTAATCCAAAGGACTGTAACTGCCTGGGTCTCCAGTCTGTGTCCACCTCTAGAATCTTGAAATGGTTTGGACCCATCAGACCGAACAGTACAAAACTTAGGAGAAAAAGTTGTAGCAACACCATTATCTATTGCTTCCAAACAAAGAAACAAGAAATGAAATATACAGCATCTCCCCCATTCTCCCTTCCCAAAAGAACCTCAGTTATGTTCAGATGCCTGCAACTTCCCCAAGTAGCCCAAACAGCTCATGGGAAGGGACTGACAATTCTACATAAATCTCATTCTCTCTCCAGTGATTGGCTCAACAATGTGTATAAACCTACTGTCAGCATAATACTCAAGGGTGGAAAGTTCAAAGCCTTTCTGCTAAAATCCAGAACAAGACAAGCATGCCGACTCTCAGTACTTCTATTCAACACAGTATTGGAAGTTCCAGCCATATCAATTAGACAAGAAAAAGAAATAAAAGGGATCCAAATTGGAAGAGAAGGGGTAAAACTGTCATTATATGTGGATGACATACTATATATATAGAAAACCCTAAAGGCTCCACACAAAAACTACTAGAGCTGATAAAAGAATATGGATACAAGAATAACATACAGAAATCAGTTGCATTTCTTCACACTAACAGTGAAATATCAGAAAAGGAAAGTAAGGAAACAACCTCTTTTAAAATTGCATCCAAAAAAATAAAATACTTACGAATAAATCTGACCAAGGAAGTGAAAGACTTTTTTTTATATATAACATTTTTTATTGATTTATAATCATTTTACAATGTTGTGTCAAATTCCAGTGTTCAGCACAATTTTTCAGTCATACATGGACATATACACACTCATTGTCACATTTTTTTCTCTGTGGGAAGTGACTTATACATGGAGAACTATAAAACACTAAGGAAGTTAAAGATGACTTAAAGAAATTGAAAGATATCCCATGTTCTTGGATTGAAAGAATTAATACTGTTAAAATGGCCATACTACCCAAAGCAATCTACAGATTCAATGCGATCCCTATCAAATTACCCAGGACATTTTTCACAGAACTAGAACAAATAATCCTAAAATTTATATGTAATCACAAAAGACTCAGAATTGCCAAAGCAATACTGAAGAAAAACAATGAAGCTGAAGGAATAACCCTCCCAGACTTCAGACAATACTACAGAGCTACAGTAGTCAAAACAGGATGGTATTGGTACAAAAACAACTTATGAATCAATGGAACAGAATAGAGAGCCCAGAAATAAACTCACAAACTTTTGGTCAGTTAATCTTTGACAAAAGAGGCAAGAACATACAATGGAATAAAGACAGTCTCTTCAGCAAATGGTGTTGGGAAAACTGGACAGCTGCATGTAAATCAATGAAGTTAGAATACTCCTTCACACCATACATGAAAATAAACTCAAAATGGCTTACAGACTTAAACATAAGACAAGACACTATAAACCTCTTAGAAGAAAATATGGGCAAAACATTATCTGACATAAGTCTCACCAATGTTCTCCTAGGGCAATCTACTCAGGCAATAGAAATAAAAACAAAAATAAACAAATGGGACCTAATTAAACTTATAAGCTTTTACACAGCAAAGGAAACCATAAGCAAAACAAAAAGATAATCTACAAAATGGGAGAAAATATTTGCAAAAGATGAGACTGACAAGGGCTTAATTTCCAGAATCTTTTAACAGCTGATATAAACTTAATAATGAAAAAACAAACAACCCAATTCAAAAATGGGCAGAAGACCTAAACAAGCAATTCTACAATGAAGACATACAAATGGCCAATTGGCCCATTAAAAGATGTTCAATATTGCTAATTATCAGAGAAATGCAAATCAAAACTACAATAAGGTATCACCTCACACTAGTCAGAATGGCCATCATTAAAAAGTCCACAAATGATAAGTGCTGGAGGGGGCTGGAAAAAAGGGAACCCTCCTACATTGTTGGTGGGAATGTAATTTGGTACAGCCATTATGGAAAACAGTATGAAGACTGACTAAAAACAAACTTACCATATGATCTAGCAATCCCATTCCTGGGCATATATCCAGAGGGAACCTTAATTTGACAAGATACATGCACCCCAATGTTCATAGCAGCACTATTTACAATAGCCAAGACATGGAAACAACCTAAATGTCCATCAACAAACGACTAGATAAAGAAGTTGTGGTATATTTATACAATGGAATACTACTCAGCCATAAAAAAGAATAAAATAATGCCATTTGGAGCAACATGGATGGACCTGGAGACTGTTATTCTAAGTGAAGTAACCAGAAAGAGAAAGAAAAGTGCCATATATCACTTATATGTGGAATCTTTAAAAAAAGATGAACTTATTTATAAAACAGAAATAGACTCATAGACATAGAAAACAAACTTATGGTTACTGGGAGGGAAAAGGGTGGGAAGGGATAAATTAAGAGTTTGAGATTTGTAGATACTAACTAGTACATATAAAATAGATAAGCAATGAGTTCATACTGTATAGCACAGGGAATTATATTCAATATCTTATAGTAACTTATGGTGAAAAAGAATATGAAAAGGAATATAGGTATGTTATGTTCGTGTACGACTGAAGCATTATGCTGTACACCAGGAATTGACAGAACATTGTAAACTGACTATGCTTCAATAATATATGTATGTGTGCGCACACATACATATACACAGAAAAAAATGGGTATATACCCCAACATGGCTCATGAACCCCGGGAGGAAGTCTGTTGGGGCAAGTCTAGGAAAAGAAAGGAAGCACCCTCTCTTCTTCCTCAGACATTTTCCATCCTGGATGGGATGCCATCCAATGATGGCAGAGCAGAGAGATGAAGAGAACTTGAGTTCTTGAAGGCATTTTGAGCTGCTAAAACAAATAAGCCTGATACCCTCCCATGAGACATGCTTTAATCAAATTGGAGTCAGCACTTAAATACCTTAAAGCCAAAACGTCCTAGTACAACTGTGTGGCAGAAATGTCCTTTTTGCTGCCAGGGCTCTGGAATCTGGAAATGAGCCCCCTAAGTACTACCTACCTCAGTTCCTAAAGCTGTGATATTGACAAACACAGCTTACAACAAGCATGTGTTTAAATGAAAATTTACAAATCTAATACCCAAGGCTCACACGCGGCAGCAACATTTCTACTATAATAGAATTTTGAATGCTTTACTCTCTTGAAGTGGTCAAAAAATCTACCTATTTACTTCTTTCCTTTCTGTAAGTATGATAATTTTGATTATCTCATTTTCCTTCCATCCATTTGGGAGCTAATCTTAGCGTCCAGTGAAAATGACTGGCAAGCTCCCTGCTCTTGGAGTTCACATCTATTTGGGGAGATAGATAAATCAGAAAAGAAGTATGCAAGTAAGTGACTTCAGATCATGATAAGTGCTGAGGAGAAATTAAAACCAAGAAATGTTATAGAGTGATTTGCAGCAGAGCTGGGGTGGGTAGATTAGACTGAGGGTCAGGAAAGGCTCTCTGAGAAGGTGATGTTTGAATCTAGACCAGGATGATGAGAAAACACCAACTATGAGAAGGAGAAAGAACATTCCAGTAAGAGGGAGCAGCAACTTCAAAAGCCCTGAGGTGGAAACAGCTTTATGTGACTCCAACTGTTTCTTCCTTTTCCTAATGAGAATATTTACTATCTCATTATTATCACTGAACAGTTGAAAGTATACTTTTCCACACTTACCCAGCTTTTGCAATAATATCCATATTATTAGAATATAGTCAAGCCTTTCATCATATTCATCTTATTAAAGACGATAAGAAAAAGAACTTGGGAAGTTTAGGAATTTTTCATACACAATTTTCAAAAAC